AGGAAGCCTTTTTGCACCGCTGGCGGCGAGGTCGTCCATGGGGGGCACGACCCCTGGCATTCCGCGTCCTTCCGCTCTCGCCGGCCCCCTCTCGCTGCCGCAGGCCTCCCTTTTGCCCGTTCCGCCCGACAGCCGCATTCTCCCTTTTTTTTTTTTTTTGCTTTGCGCGCCCGCCCTCGCTGGGTGCAATTTTTGCATGACGCTGGCGCCGGTGGAGGGCACCAATGCAACACACCTCTCCCCATTATGCTCTACAACCGCCCTCGCCCAGCGACGCCTGCTGCCAGCCGCAGTGTACGGCAAAAGTTCCAATGCATGACCGTGCGTGCAGCAGAGAAGACGGATGAGCGGGTTTCAAGTTTCTTTCCCTTTTTCCTCATTTCACATGTAGGTGAAAACATCTCCATGTTATACCAAGTTTACCTAAGAAGATGCTAACAAAGCCATTTGGATCGGCAAATCTTAGACGAACAAATGTAGTGCAATGGTGTGCGTGCGTCGCTTAAAGAGCTGTTGGGTGTTCATTTGAGCTTGCTTGGTAATGTCATTTGCATATCATAAAATTTTCTGATTTCTCCAATTTTGCCCCGCCCCAAAAATAAATCATGACATTTATGCAAATACACGCTGACGGAACTTGACAGGCTCACGACACAGAGGGCAGTAAATTATATTAGTTGAACACGCATCACATAGGCAGTAATGGCCACATGGCACCAGTACTGTGTCTTTAGGAGCAAGGCATATCGCACACCCTTTATTCTCCTCAGTGGGGGCATCAACGCCACTATTTTCTGTCCCATGACGTATTTGCCGTGAGAGTGTCGAAATATGCCTCCCTAATGGTGGGCGGACCACCTCCGGATCAAGGCACAACGGAAACGAACCTTCAGATGAGAATATCTGGACGAGCTGCCTGACAACATCATAAAGCGAGGAAGACGCTGGTTGCCATGCTGCAAGTTCTGGCGTGTGACAACGTCCGGTAGCATCCACGTGTTTTTGGTTGCTTGCTATTCTACAGCTATGATCTGTGCTGAAGACGAATACTAGAGGAGGTTCAATTGGGTACAGGTGCGTTATCCATATCTGCATGGGCAATATATAATGAAATAGGAGTCCTTCTTCACTATTACTGTGGGATGAAGGTGTCTGGTTGCTGTCGCTTTTTTTTATGCTAATTGGAATCCCACCGTAGATACAGAGCTTCTTCTGCTGTGTCTCTCCCCAAGTGGCCTCGCGACAGGATAAGTGGAACGAGAGGCATAAATCCCTGATGTCATAAAAGATACGACCTAAGACCTCAGGCTTGCAGTGTGGGGAGTAACTAAAAAAACGAGTAATGCCGTCGTTCATGTTCTTGTTGAGCGGAACTGTCCCTTTGGAAAGAGCATCTCACCAGAAACAATGAAAGGAAGCCATGTGGTGAGAAAAACTTTGCAAGCACTTCATCAAACTTAGACAAGAATGCTGCTATCCAATTATCTTTTCCATCTTAGCGTGAAGGAAAAGCATCTTTCCCTCTACAAGTCAAAATGCTCAGTTAACTGAAGTGGTGGGATAAAGATATTTCATCAACAACACTGATTAGCAATTACTGGGCGTGGGGGGGGGGGACAATGCCGATAAACTTTATTTTCAGATGGTAATTAATGGAGGAGGACGTAATCCTTAGTACTGCCTTTCCAACAGCTGCCTTGCCTGACATACGCCATACCCATGTCCCTGCCCAAAAAGCATCGGAGAGGAACATAATTAGTTAAAGCATGCACCGCGGACTAAACAGGAGCTTTGTAGTTGCCAACTAAAAAGGCTGAGAAGCAGATATGCAGCGTGCGCTAATTGTGCGGTGTTGACTGAACGTCCCCTGTTCCACATAACAGCGAGAAAGCATGGTATTGTATGCACGCCGCTTTCTCTGTGGAGGGTCCAGAATGTGTGGAAACCCGCAAGAGTGTCCTTCTTACAGACTCCCATTTATGGGGTTACACAGCAAAAAAAAATCTTCAGTAACAAAAAAGAAACGGGATAAACCCCTTTAGTAAATAATTCCTCCAGCATTGTTCATGCATGTATCATCTTTTTTCTGCTGCACAGGCAATGAAGTGAATTCACACATTGAAACGTACAGCAAGATCTATGAATTATACATATCACCATGTTGTTATCTTTCAAGATTACTGTGCGTCAGGAAACACCCTGCAACAAAGTTTCTTGAATACAATCCTTCATCCAAGTCCGATTTATCAAATCAGGAAAAAGCGTGCGTGCATGTGCCCCTTAATCAATTGGGCGGCACACGCAACAAATCTGGGACCGTGTCATCACTAAGAATTCCAAAAGAACATCGTTCAAAATCTACGAAACGCAAAATAGCCAGTCCAAATCCACTGCAAGACCATACCCAAATCCCCAGCAGAAAAACACAAAACCGTCCCCAAAAAAAGACTGCCTGTTCCACTCCAGACTTGCCCTGCCCACTTTCTGAGATATCGGGAATAAAGGCTGCTTAGATGGCTCAACTGAAAACATCAATATTATTAAGGATGAGAATTTTGAGCAAAAAGAAAAACAGACATATATTACCATCAAAAGGTCGTATTCAATTAGATGGTCCCTTGGAAAATTGGGGAAAAACACTGACACAGAATAATAAAGAAAATATTACACCCAAAGCGTTTAGGGTGAGCAATCAGCATGGATTTTGCCGCTCGGCTGCAGCATTACGAACACCATACGCCCTTATGGGGATACTTTCGCAAGCAAAGCCGTGACCACCCAAAATAATTTTAAAAACACATTTTTCTAAGAGTCGGGGCAAGCTTGTTTCTTTCTCCTTTCGGCTTTGTGTTGGAAGCGTTAGATAACAGTATCAAATCCTTCTTCGAAAAAAAAAATTGTAATTGCTGTGATAACCCTCCATTGCGCAGGCCCAGATACCGCTTATGGTTCCTTTTCCAAACGTCGCGTTTTTCTAATGCGTTAAAAATGGTTGGATTGAATACCAAAATAGAAATTAAATACCGACGGCGGAGCAACCATATTGAAATATGCAGCATCTAGAGCACCACAACTCTT